TAACTCTTTAAGTGGTTGCTTTAGGTTTCATAAAGTTGTTGCATTCTTCTGGTGTCATTATTTTCCAGTAAGAGTGAAGTATACAAAGCTTCCATTTATTTTACTTCCCTTTATCATCACTTACAATTGTCTTAAATTTTTTTACATACATTTAGAGCCATGTAAGACTGCATTGTAATTTTTGCCTTAATCATCAAACATATTTTGAAAAATTCAGGAGGAAAATGAAAGACTATAGTATTTACCCATATTTTTGTTAACAAGCTAATTTATCTTCTTGATGTTCTTAAGTTTCTTTTTTTAATTGCCAGAAGATACCAGTGTTTGCTGGACAGAAAGAGGAGAACGCACCCTCAATGGGATGTGATCACGCGGTAGTCCCTTCCCTTCCAGGTTTTTGTCCTGCTGGGATTTGGGGCAAGCATGTACCTGCACTCAGTAATATGCTCAATAAATCCCAACCACCTGGGCCCAGGATGCAAACTACGGTTGGCCATGTGAGATCTGGTTTTCCTTAACACTAGTCTATGGGGCTGGCTCCAGGGTTTCTTTTATAAAGGCTTTTGCCCTAGGGCATGTGCACTTGCTGGAGAGAGACAGAGAGACAGTGAGAGAGAAAGTAAGAAAATCCCCCTCCTGGGGGGATGGCCACACCACAATCCTTTCTCCTCCATTCTTCTCCTGGTATTTTGGGCACACACACACGTGCATGGCATGATTTTCAAGCTGCCAGGTATGGGACTCGAATCGTGGTTGGCCATGTGGGCATCTATCACCATAACCGCCATGCCACCTGCTGGCCCCTCCTTTCATTCTTTTCTTTTTTTATCCCCCCCCTCCCAGTTTACCCATTTATTTCCTCAGAGAGAAATGGTATTTCAACAGGATCTCTGCACCATGATCCACCCTAGAACCAGCCATCTGGACCACAGGCATGTGCGTGTCTCTTCCTGGTCAAATTAAAATGAATGAATAAATAAATAAAATCAAATAACTCTTAAAAGAAATGGTGTTTCTACTAGAAAGGTGTGGGGGCTGAGGAAGCTAGTAACAGGGGCAGTGTGTAGGGCACTCCACCACCACTTGTGCCTTCTCGACTCTCTCCTCTAAACACCAATCCAGGTACCACTGTCCCTCCTTGCTCCTCACCACCCGGTCCTCTGGGAGCACTTCGTCACTCTGCATCCTAACACTCCTTGCACTGTCTTGTGGCCTCGTGACATGACTTCAAGCTGGCAGCCAGTGTCTGTCTGAAACTGCCACAGTCAAACCAAGTTCTTCGAGATGGTTCCCTTTCACAGCTCCGGACCCCCCACGTTGACTGATAAATAATACTTTTTTGAGATAGTGAGAACGCATTGCCCAGAGGGGATGGCCACACCACAATCCCTTCTCCTCCATTCTCCTCTCGAGATTTTTGGGCATGCACGCATGCACATGTGCCCAGCATGATTTTTAAGCTGCTGGGTCTGAGACTTGAACTGTGGTCAGCCATGTGAAAATCTAGCACCTTAACCACTATGTCATCAGCTGTCCCTATATCTCTTTGTTTTTAAGTTTCCCAGATGGCAAAACTTTCTCACTGGGAAAAAGCTGAGGGAGAGGGAAAAAGCACCCCCAGTGGGATGTGGCTGTGCCCTAATCCCTTCTGTCCATTTCTCCACCCTGTGGGGATTTGAGGGTCTAGGGCTTGGACCTTGTGGCCAGTCACGTGGTTCTCCTCCATTCTCCTCTCGAGATTTTTGGGCATGCACGCATGCACATGTGCCCAGCATGATTTTTAAGCTGCTGGGTCTGAGACTTGAACTGTGGTCAGCCATGTGAAAATCTAGCACCTTAACCACTATGTCATCAGCTGTCCCTATATCTCTTTGTTTTTAAGTTTCCCAGATGGCAAAACTTTCTCACTGGGAAAAAGCTGAGGGAGAGGGAAAAAGCACCCCCAGTGGGATGTGGCTGTGCCCTAATCCCTTCTGTCCATTTCTCCACCCTGTGGGGATTTGAGGGTCTAGGGCTTGGACCTTGTGGCCAGTCACGTGGGCCCCTGCTCCCTTAACGAGGCCGTGGGACTGGTCCTGGTGCAGTGCTAGTGCCCGTGTGGACCAGCACACACCAGGACGCAGAGGCCGTCTACAGCGACAGCTAGCATGTATTCCCAAGGTTCTCCTAAGGAGGGGAGGTGAACAGTGGGGCCTTGCACCTCACCAGGGCTGACCAGAACTGGCCGTCCTTGGTGACAACCTGCTGAAGACCGCTAGACAAAGAGAAGTCACAAACTGTCACTCAGGCGAGGGGGCCGGATCCTCAGCCTGAGCCCACGCTTCCACCAGAGAGCAACTGAGAAACGTTCCAGTTCAGAGTCCAGAAAGCACGGCTGGCTTGCCGTCAGCTCATTTATTAGTTCAGTCTGTCCTAGGTTGTACAGTTATGAGTAACAAAACCGAAGCCGGAAGCCCAGGCCTGCTTGCACTCGCGTGGTGAGGTCAGTCTACGTTGCACAGTCGGTTATGTTTGGTACCACAAGATGTTTATAATTCAGACAAAATCAGACAGATTAACAACTGTATGTACAGTAAAACCGAAAGGGGAGTCATTCAAGTATCAAAATACAGAGACAGATTAAATAACATTTTATTACAGTCCAGTCCCATTGCCACCCATCAGCAATGAACTCCTGCGAGCTGCATCTGCAGGCCTGGGATCTCAAAAGCACATGAGTCCCGCCAGTTTCCCACTGTCTCGGACCACGGCTGCTTGCTGCCTGCTCGCCCCAGGCTTCTCAAGGAACGCCCCGCAGGAGCCACCCTGGGGGCCTGGAGGGATGCGGAGCCTTGCAAATGCAGAGCCTGCGGGGGAAGTCGGGCTGCCTGAGCTGCTGCCAGCCCGAGAAGCAGAGAAGCAAAAAGCAGGGAGCCTGCGGCCAGGGCCAGGGCCTGACTCCTTCACAGTTCAGAAATGCGGCGACAGAGGCTGCCATGTCGCCGGCTTGCACTTGGACAAGAGCAAAAGCAGGGGCTTTTCACTTGAAGCCTGTCCTCAGAGATACAACAGTCCTTTCTAGAGAAGGGAGAGTACCTGCCCCAAAGGAGAAGTGAAAAAGCAAGATCCAGTCACCTTTCCTCTTTGTGAATATTCGAGAGAAACCAATCACAAAACCAAACCTAGAGCCGGAGCAGACTAGCCAAGGCTTTCCGCTATGAAAACACCCTGAATAAATAAAAAAGAGATAGCAGCTTCAAGGGGAAGGGACACCTACACCGACTAAACAGAGACAGCCTGAGGGACTCGTAGTGTCTGTGCGGTTTTCTTTTTGGCCCTCCCACTGCCCACAGCGGCCTACGCAGACATGACTCGCCCTTGGCAGGAAGGGCACCAGCTGAGCGCTGCAGCAGAAGCAGCAGTCGCTCCAGGACCTTGGGCTTCCTTTCAGGCCCCGGAGGAGAGCGGTGCGGGGTGTGTGGCGGTGGCGTTAGCTGCCAGCAGCAGGAAACAAGTGAAACCTCAAGGTGTGCGGCTGTGAGTACCAAGCACGGAGGAGCACCTGCCTCTAGGGGGAGCTGACCCCAGGATGCTGTGTCAGACACTCGGGACACACGCTAGCAAGGCCCAGCCCCAAGCTGGAAGACGCAGCAAGACACAGCCCTGCTTCCGATTTCTGGCCAACCACAGGGCCTGGGAGTGTGTCAAAGCACTGCCCCTGCACTGGCACAGAATTTCAATTGACAACTCTGCTGGGGATGGGGAGTGCTGCTGAGGCTTGCTGTATTTACCCTGGGACCAGAATGAACTGCGCCAGCAGAGCATGAAGCCAGCCAAAGGCTCCTCCCTGGTCCCCACCTGGGAGCTCCTGGACAAGCGGCCGACCTGGCTTTCCCTCCCCATCCCACGCAGCCAGCCACGTCGCTCTCACAGTCCGAGAGGAAGAACGCAACCCGAGTCACCTCAAAGCAAAGCAAAGCAGCAGGAAGGGGACGCAGCAGTGCAGGGGGCACCAGGGGCCAGCCTGCCCTGAAGGCCACGGCGGGGCAGGCCGAGTGGCCTGGCAGCTTGGCCAGCCTTGCCCACACAGCAGCTGAGAACAGTCAAGCCGACAATTCAGGGGATCAAAATGGGCCCTAGCACACAGACCTGATTAGACAAATCACAAACAGGCAGGTAGTCCGAGCTGACCTACTCATTAATGCCCCAAACGAAGCTGCTGCTTCTCTCTCCTGACAACTCTAGCAGCATGTCACCAGGGCACTGTGGGCCAGCCAGGGCCGTGCTCTGGTCACCGGTAGGAGGCCTGGGGCTCCCGGTCCTGGTTCTGCCTTCCCCACACCAGAAACTGGATGCTCGCCTCCATTTGGTCGCGAGACCCTCACCTCTGGAACCCACACGTGGGCCGGAGCCTTTGCTTTCCCCAGGGGCCTCTCGGGCCATGTGCAAACTGAGAGCTGAGTCCGGCTCCAGCCCGGACAAGAAGCTGTGCAGTCTGCGGAGAACAGTGACTACCTCGGGCGGGTCTGCAGACCCGAGCAAACCCACCCTTCCGACCCACCCATGGACACTGCTTCACTTCAGACCTGCAGGGCCCTCCATACCAAGATCCTGTCCCGAGGTCAGGGCGCTGTACAGGCTGGTCTTTGAGCCCCCCTCCCCCTGTCCCCTGACCCTATGGTCATTTGTCTAAAGATTGGCAGTTTGACCTAGAGGTTTGAGCCACATGTTAAAAGTTCATTTTATAAAAGGATTTTTTTTTCTATTAAAAAAATGTGTTCTGGACAAGTCTCTTCTTGACCCCCTGGAGTTCCAGTCTCATCTGCTAGAGGCCTGGAGTGCTTCTCTGCAGCCAGGGCAGGGCTCACTCTGCGAGGCCTGGCGGTGGCAGGGCCCGGGCGGAGGTCGGGCCTGGGTCTTCAGCGCTGCAGGTGAGACGGTGGAGGTGGAGGTGGCAGGAGCCTGTGCTCCCCACGGTTACCTTCCGCAGCACAGTGGCTCCTCAGTGGCTCAGCTTGGCAGAAGCAAACAATGAGGGGAGGAAAGGGTTAACCAAAGGGGCCTGCACAAGTTGGAGGAAACGGAGAGATACAGTAGCAGGTCGGAGAGTCCCCACAGCCTCCCAGAGCGCCCTGCAGGGCCCCCTGCCGCCTCGGCTCAGCCAGTCGCTCAAGAAGGCACAAGGACAGGCGGCCCACCCTGGTTTATCAACTGGGGTTCAACTCTGAAATAGTGCCGGGCGCACTGCTTTCCCACGGGCACCACACGTGCGCCGCCGCCTCCTGGAACCTGCCGACTACACTGATTTGCCCATACCGGCCCACACCAGAGGACGTGGGGCTTCTTCCACCTCGGCCCCACGATCCTGGCCGCTGAACGGCTCGAGCTGATGGGTTGCATGGCCTCTCCTTAAGGGAGCCCAGGCTGAGGCTGATCAGGAAAGGCCTAGCCATGGCTGGCTATCCTTGATCCGCACACCATGAGAGGTGGCAGAGAGCTCCCGGAAGGCAAGGGCAGTTGCTCAGTCCAGGTCCCTGTCCTTGGCTCCTTGGGGAGAGAAGGTGCACGGTGGGTGCAGAGCACAGGGAAGGCCTTCCTGCTTGGTGAGCTAGACTCCAGAGCAAAGACCTGTGACCCAGCAGCAAAGACACAGGGTCTGCCCGCACACACACCACCGTCCTCAGAGAGAAGGCCCATCAGAACTAAGGAACGTGCTGAGAGGAGTCAGCCAGTGGGTGTTCAGATGCTTAGAGGCCCAGGGCTTTGGAGCCAGTGGGAACCAGGTGAGGGCCTGGCATGTACCGGGCCCTCTGAGCTCAGGGTCTCATGAGGCCAGCCCTTAGAGCAGCAGGCGGGGCTGGAGACCAACTGGGAGCAGAGTGCACGGGGGCCTGCGCTGGGGGTCAGTGGGCGGTTATGTCAGGAAAGGGGAAAACATAGCTCTTGGTGGTGGCACCAGCTGTGGCTCAGTATAGAAGACAGGAGAGGGCCCCGGACCGAGCCTGCCCAGAGCAGGGAGTCCTCAGTGCTGTTTGTATTCTGTTCAAAGACTGCCCCTGCACCCCAGAGTCACAGTGCCTGCCTACAGAGGCTCCTGGGTGCAACAGAGCCCCTGAACCCCCTGGGGGCCCACCTCAAAGGCAACTCACCCCCCAAGCTGTCCTCAGCCCAAGGGGGAGAATTCACAGTGTTCGGTGGGGTTAGGTGCAAGAGCTGAGTGGACAGTGTCTGGAGCTGCTGCCCGGAGGAGGGCAGGTCCCAGAGCAGGCCCTTGGTGTCAGCAGCTGGAAGGAGAGTTGCGAAGAGCAGAGAGGTCGGGTGGCAAAGGCACAGTGAGACTAGTGGAGACGGGGAGTGGGCGGTGTTAGAAGATAGTGGTCTCATACTTGGTGCTGAGGCTCCGCTTAGAGTCTGGTTTTGGGTCCACAACCCAGGAGACACTGGCGTGGGACTGGCCATCGTGGTCCACTTCGGGGGGTTCCAGCTGCCAAACAAGGAGAGAGGGTCACAAGTCAGGGGAGCTCTGTGCAGGCCAGGGCAGGCAGGGCCCAGCACGCCCTCCACCCCAGGCCGTGCTGGAGCCCACGTGTCCAGAGGGGCAACCCACGTTCTCCTCGGAAAGAGCAGGCCCTGG